CCCACCACCTGGCCAAACACACCTGGTTTGTCACCCACCTCAGAGCCATCAAACATCCACCAAACCACAGTCCTGCCTGGACAATCAACAACCTTCCTAAGCAACCCAGTTTCAGAACACACAACAGTGCCATTTGAGGACACTTCCACCTTCTCAGAGAGATCATCTGTACCAAGCACAACCCAGCCTTACGGTACCTCTCCCTTGACTGAAGAATCCATAACTTCTCAGAGCAGCCCAGAATCAGCGCACACTCCAATGTCATCAGACACATCCACAACCATAATCTTGGTTGAAGGATCCACAAAAGGACCAAGCACAGCTGGTTCAGTAACCACCACAGGGACATCAGACATCCACCAAACCACTGTCTCGACTGAGGAACCCACAGCCATCCCAGGTAGCCCAGGACCAGAACCCACAACAGTGCCACCTGACAGCTCCCCATCCACAGTCCCGGTAGAAGGAACAACACCCATATCTAGCAGCTCAGGACCTGCACACACAACTCTTCCAGATGACACCGCCCAATCCACCGTCCTGACTGGACAATCTCCATTCCCCAGCAGCCCAAGTCCAATACAGGAATCAGGGGCCACCGGAAGTGCCCCGACCACCATTGTGGATGAAGGGTGGACAGGGACCCCACTCAGCCCAAGCTCAGCCTACACCACAGGGCCCACAGCAGGCTGGCCAAGCACAGTCCTGACTGAGGGAGCAACAGCCTCCCAGGCAGCCCAGATGCAGCTGGCACAAGCACATCTCCTGCTGGCTCTCCACACACTGTCCAGACTGAGGTCACCTCAGTACTCCCCAGTGACCCGGAATCAACACACACTGCAGGTCCTTCACACAGTCCTCAGACCACTCCCTTGACTGAAGACTCTACAACTTCTGTGAGCAGTCCAGGATCAGCCCATGCTACCATGTCAGAAGACACTTCCACAACCAAAGTGCTGGTTGAAGAACCCACCGTCTGGTCAAACACACCTGGTTCATCACCCATGTCAGAGCCATCAGACATCCACCAAACCACAGTCCTCACTGAGAGTTCTACAATCTTCCCAGGCCGACCAAGTTCAGAACACACAACAGTGCTGGCTGAGATTTCCCAAAGTACAGTCCTGACTGAAAGACCTTCAACCTCCACAGACAGCTCAGCTGTACCACATACAACCAAGCCTTGGGGTACTTTCCAAACCTCTTCCTTGGCTGAAGAATCTAGAACTTCCCTGAACAGCCCAGCATCAACACACACTACAAAGTTGTCAGACATCTTCACATCGACAATGGTGGGTGGAGGATTCACAATAACACCCAGCACAGCTGGTTCAGCAACCACCACAGGGACATCAGACATCCACCAAACCACTGTCCTCACTCAGGAACCCACAGCCTCCCCCGGCAGCTTAGGGCCAGGACACCCATCAGTGCCTCCTGACAGCTCCCCATCCACAGTCCTGGTGGAAGGAACAACATCCATATCTAGCAGCTCAGGACCTGCACACACAACTCTTCCAGATGACACCGCCCAATCCACCGTCCTGACTGGACAATCTCCATTCCCCAGCAGTCCAAGTCCAATACAGGAATCAGGGGCCACCGGAAGTGCCCCGACCACCATTGTGGATGAAGGGTGGACAGGGACCCCACTCAGCCCAAGCTCAGCCTACACCACAGGGCCCACAGCAGGCTGGCCAAGCACAGTCCTGACTGAGGGAGCAACAGCCTCCCAGGCAGCCCAGATGCAGCTGGCACAAGCACATCTCCTGCTGGCTCTCCACACACTGTCCAGACTGAGGTCACCTCAGTACTCCCCAGTGACCCGGAATCAACACACACTGCAGGTCCTTCACACAGTCCTCAGACCACTCCCTTGACTGAAGACTCTACAACTTCTGTGAGCAGTCCAGGATCAGCCCATGCTACCATGTCAGAAGACACTTCCACAACCAAAGTGCTGGTTGAAGAACCCACCGTCTGGTTAAGTACACCTGGTTCATCACCCATGTCAGAACCATCAGACATCCACCAAACCACAGTCCTCACTGAGAGTTCTACAATCTTCCCAGGCCTACCAAGTTCAGAACACACAACAGTGCCAGTTGAGGGTTCCCATCGTACAGTCCTGAGTGAAAGACCTTCAATCTCCACGGAGAGCTCAGCTGTACCACATATAAGCAGTCCTTCAAGTACTTTCCAAACCTCTCCCTTGAGTGAAGTATCTACAACTTCCCTGAGCAGCCTTGGATCAGCATACACTACAATGGCACCAGACATCTCCACAACAACAATTTTGATAGAAGAGTCGACAATATCACCCAGCACATTTGTTTCAACAATTTCTGTAGGGACATCAGACATTCACCACATCACTCTCCTGACTGAGGGACCCACAGCCTTCCCAGGCAGCCCAGGACCAGAACACACAACAGTGCCACCTGACAGCTCCCCATCCACAGTCCCGGTGGAAGGAACAACACCCATATCTAGCAGCTCAGGACCTGCACACACCACTCTTCCAGATGACACCGCCCAATCCACCGTCCTGACTGGACAATCTCCATTCCCCAGCAGCCCAAGTCCAATACAGGAATCAGTGGCCACCGGAAGTGCCCCGACCACCATTGTGGATGAAGGGTGGACAGGGAGCCCACACAGCCCAAGCTCAGCCTACACCACAGGGCCCACAGCAGGCTGGCCAAGCACAGTCCTGACTGAGGGAGCAACAGCCTCACCAGGCAGCCCTACATCATCATACACCTCACTGCCACCAGACACATCCACACCCACACTGATGGTTGAAGAATCCCCAGCCTGGTCCAGTAGCCCTGGTTCTTCAGTCTCCTTAGGACCATCAGACACCCACCAAACCACAGTCCTGCCTGGACAATCTACCACCTTCCCAACCAACCCAATTTCAGAACGTACATCAGTGCCCCCTGAGAGTTCCCCAAGTCCAGTCAACTCTGAAGATCCATCCACCTTCTCAGCGAGCTCAGCTATACCACACACAACCAAACCTTCTGGTACTTTCCAATCGTCTTCTTTGACTCAAGAATCTACCACTTCCCAGAGCAGCCCAGGATCAGCCCACACTACAATGTCACCAGAGATGTATACAACCACTCCAGTGGTTGACGAACCCACAACTTGGTCAGGAACACCTGGATCGTCACCTATCTCTCTGCCATCAAACATCCATGGAACCACAGTCCTACCTGGAGAACCCACAGCCTCCCTGGGGAGCACCAGATCTGCACAGGCAACCATGTCACACCGGACAGTGTCAGCCGACAATCCCTACACCACACACCCTCCTGCGGCCTCCAGTTCTGCCTTACTGGTATCTGACCCTTGGTCTCTCACGACGTCTAACAGTTTTTCTGACTTCTATACATTACCTTCCTCTACTCAGTATCCAGTCTCAGGGTTCAGCAGCAGTCCTGCCATTCATCCTGGGGTCTCTAGTAAGCCCACCACATTGATGACTACCCAGCCAATCTCTTTGTCACCAAGTAAGTTGTGTATACATCCATCTGGGTTACTCTCTGAGTTCTGTGGGCAGTTCTGTGTGTGTGTGTGTGTGTGTGTGTGTGTGTGTACGCGCATGGCAGTACGTGGGCTTAAACTCAGGCCTGGGCACTCACTTAGCTTTTTTACTCAAGACTAGTGCTCTACCATGTTGTCTATGGCTCCTCTTCTGGTTTATTGCTGGTTAATTGGAATCTCATGGACTTTCCTGCCCGGGCTGGCTTCTAATGGCAATCCTCAGATCTCAGCTGCTTGAGTAGCTTGGGTTACAGGCGTGAGCTACCAGTGCCTGAGTTCTCTTGTGTGTTTTATTTCTTTACTCACCAATTTTCTCCTGTTCTACCACTCTCGTTCCTGGGGCTGGGCTGGGAATGGATGGTTCTCGAATGCATGGCTTTGTGGGCTCTAGTGGTTCTTGTAAAGTTCAGCATGTTGATGATGAGAGTGGGGTCGGAGCCAGTGTTCCTGTCTTTTGACCTTTGTGACTTCTGTCCCTCCACAGGGCAATGCCACAATGGAAACTGGACTGGGAATCAGTGCGTGTGTGAGCAGGGCTTCACAGGTCTGGACTGCGAGTCTCTCCTGATCTCCTTTCCAGTAGGTAATGACCTGGTCTCTGCAGCCCTGCCCCTGGGTCCTCAGAGCAGGCGGCCATGTTGGAAATGTTAGCCCCTCCCACTCCTCACTCAGAAGCCATGCGGTTTTTGGCCAGGCCACACTCAGGCAGGAGTGTGTCCTCAAGGTCAGGAGTTTTGAAGGTCCCCCCGCCCCACCACCACACACACACCATCTAATTCTGTCTGGCTTGCCACCCTGACCACGACCACAAATTCTGCATGGTATTAAGGGGCAGGAATAGACATTTCTTTACCTGTAATGGGATTTGAACTCAGGGTCTGAGTGCTCTCGCTTAGCTTTACTGCTCAAGACTCGTGCCCTACCACCCGAACTACACCTGCATTTCTGGCTTTTTGGCGGTCAATTGGATATGAGAGGCTCATATGGACTTGTCTCTCCAGGCTGGCTTTGAACCTGACCCTCAAATCTCAGCCTCCTGACTAGCTAGGATGACAGGCCTGAGCCACTGGTACCCAGTCCGCCTGACTCTTGAGTGTTATCTGTCCTTGGTCCCACCCTCACGTCCATGAGACCAAGAGGCAGAGCTGGTAGACATTCACGTCTCATGCCTGGTGTCCCCCCAGAAATCCCCGGGATCATCACCGCTAACGTGACCGCGGTGGTGAAGGTGATCCACAGGAACTTCACAGAGGACCTGAAAGACCCGTCCTCCGAAGCCTACAAGAACTTCACTCAGCAGTTCATCGAACAAGTAAGCACACGGGGTCCCCAGCAAGTGCGAGGGAGACGCAGGGCTCAGCTGAGTTTGACTCCCAGAACCCCTCAGCCCCTGACTCCTGAGGGGATCCTCTGCACTCCCACCCTCAAGCCCTGCCCACTCCATCCTGGTACCTGCCCTTTCCCTTTTCTCTAGCCACCACAGGCAGGAGCAGGGAGCTGTCCTGATGTGGGGGTCGGGGAGGAGGGCTCTCTTTGTGCGTTCCAGCCCAGTGTAGCCACAACTGGGTTTGATTTGATTCGATTTTTTTTTTTCCAGATGAATGAGATTTTCGGTGACCTTTCCCAGTACAGAAGGGTGACCATTAACAGACTTTTGTGAGTACCAGGGGAGCCCCTCCCCCACTCTGGGGTGAACGCTTGCGCTATTTCTACCTTGCTTGGGACAGACCTGAGGGCCCGAGGTCATAAATGCTGCCATTCATTCATTCTGCCATCCATCCATCTGTTCATCATGTTTACTCATGCACCATTGTATGTTCATTTGTGATGTTGTTTAATCCCTTTGTCATTCATTTTCTTTTCCTTTTTTTTTGCCAGTCATGGGGTCTGAACTCTCTGCCTGGGCACTGTCCCTCAGCTCTTCAGCTCAAGGCTAGCACTTTACCGCTTGAGCCACAGCGCCACTGCTGGCTTTATCTGCTTATGTGGTGCTGAGGAATTGAACCCAGGCTCTCGTGCATGCAAGGCAAGCACTCTACCACTGAGCCACCTTCCCAGCCCTCCTTCATCATTTTCTTCAGTTAATTTGTCAAAGTTTATCCATCATGGCAGATGCTGGTGGCTCACATCTGTAATCCTAGCTCCTTGGGTGGCTGAGTTCTGAGGCTCGCAGTTCAAAGCCAGTCTGGGCAGGAAAAGTCTGTTAGACTCTTTTTTAAAATTATTATTATTGGGGCTGGGAAGGTGGCTCAGTGGTAGAGCGCTTGCCTTGCATGCATGAGGCCCTGGGTTCGATTCCCCAGTACCACATAAGCAAAAAGAAAAAAGCCAGAAGTGGCGCTGTGGCTCAAGTGGTAGAGCACTGGCCTTGAGCTGAAGACCTGAGGGACAGCACCCAGGCCCAGAGTTCAGGCCCTACGACCGGACCCCCAAAAAAATTATTATTATTATTTTGCTGGCCCTGGGGTTTGAACTCAAGATCTGGGCACTGTCCCTGAGCTTCTTTTGCTCAAGGCTAGCATTCTACCACTTGAGCCACAGAGCCATTTCTGGCTTTTTGTGTATATGTGGTACTGGGGAATCGAACTCAGGGCTTCATGCCTGATAGGCAAGCACTCTACCACTGAGCCACATTCCCAGCCCTCTGTGAGACTCTTAACTCTAATTAACAAGCAAAAAAAGCCAGAAATAGATCTGTGGCTCAAATGATAGAGCATCAGCCCCGAGCACAAAAGCTCAGGGACAGTGCTCAGGTCCTGAGTTCAAATCCCAGGACTGGCATACACACACACACACACACACACACACACACACACACAGAGTTAATGCATCATGTTTATTCATCCATCCATCCATCCATTCATTCCGTCATTTATTCATTCTTTCACTTATTCACTCATTCATACATTCACTCATTCTATTACTATTTCATTCATGCACTCATTCATACATTCATCCATTACTTACTCACTCACCAAACTTGTAATTAAAGCCATCCCTGGGCTAGATCCTGGGTTCACCTAGTGCAGTCTTCCTGGAGCTCAGAGAGGCAGAGCCTAGCGGAGACCATGGCTGTTGCATGGGGTTTCATGGGTAGAGAGGTCCCCAAAGCAGGCTTGTGCTGAGAATTCATTATCAAGTGATAATTAATAGGAGTGTAGCAAAAGGTGGGGGAATGAGGTGAGGGAAAGGAGGGGGAGAGACTCCGGAGAACCTAGAGGTGAGAGGAGGAGGCCAGGTGCCAACTGCAGGCAGGCAGAGCAGTGCCAGGAGGAGCAAAGGTTGATCAGATGGCACGTGCCAAGTTGGTGAGCTGCATCTGGGTTGCCATGGAGACAGCTGGGTTTTGGCGAGGACCAGAGGTGACTACGTAGAAGGAAGGGGCCTGGTGTGGAGGATTCAAAAAAGCAAGACCAGCCCAGGAGACCATGAGACTGGCTGTGGGGGACCGAGGGAGGGTGGCAAGGGCTGGGATGAGAATCAGAGGAGCAGGGCGGCCTGTGGCTCCTCTAAAAGGACAGAAATGGCTCCATCTTGTCTCAAGGTGGATCCTTCACCAGATCCCTGGCCCTACAGTGAGGAGCTTCTAACGGACTTTCCCCTCCTTCTCCTGCTCTTTTCTCTCCTTCCACCTCCTTCTCCTTCCTCTTCCCCCTTGTTCCCTTCCTCCCCCTCCTCCTCCCTCCTCCTTCTCCCTTGTCTTTTTTCTTTTTCTTTTGTTGGTTGTGGGGCTTGAACTCTGGGCCTGGGCGCTGTCCCTCAGCTCTTCAGCTCAAGGCTTGTGCTCTACCATTTGAGCCACAGCGCCACTTCCGGTTTTCTGGTGGTTTATTGGAGATAAGAGTCTCATGGACTTTCCTGCCCGGGCTGGCTTTGAACCATGATCCTCAGATCTTAGCCTCCTGAGTAGCTAGGATTACAGGAATGAGCCACTGACACCCGGCTTCCCTTTTCTTCTCTTCTTCCCCCTCCTCCTCCTTTCCGTCCTCTTCCTTCCCTTACTTCTCTTCCTTCTTTTTCTCCTTCCTTCCTCTTCCACTCACCTTTTTCCTTTTCCTCTTCCTCTTCTTCCTTTTCTTTCTTCTTCATTCTTTTTCCTTATTCTCTGCTTCCTTCTTCATTTTTCCCATCTTCATTCTCCTCCTCTACTTTTCTTCCTCCTTCTCCTTTTTCTCTTCTTTCTATTTTCTTCCTTCCTTATTCTCCTCTTCCCTTTATTCCTTCTTCATCTTTTTCTTTCCCTTCCTCTTCCTCTTCTTCCCCTTTTTCTTTCTCTTCCTCTGCCTCCTTCATTCTCCTTCTCTTCCTCTTTCCCTTCTTCCTCCTCCTCCTCTTCCTTCTTCTATGCTATGCAGTCTAGGTTGGCCTCAAACTCTTGGTCACCTTGCCTCAGCCTCCTACATACTGGGATTACAGGCAGGAGACCCTACACTGGGCTATGTGTAAGTGTTTGAGGACCCACCATACTGTTTTCTGCAGCAGCTACACTGTTTTAATTCCTGCCCACAGTGCACACGCATTTCCATCCATGTGTCTCCTCACTGAGGGCTTCTGAAGAGGTGAATCTCATTCTTAGGCAATTATGGCCACCACAGAAGTTTCTAGAATGTCCATGTCTTGCTCTACTATTCTTTCCTACCTCTGGGTCATAGGACTGCTTTGCCTCCACTTCCCCCCTTGCTTCCTGAGCCCTTCCTCTGTGTGTGTGTGAGAGAGAGAGAGAGAAACAGAGACAGAGACAGAGAAAGACAGAGACGGGGTGAAGGAGAGAGAGAAGAGAGAGAGAGAGACCTGGATAAATGGCAAAACATCTCCTGCTTCCAGAAATGGCAGCATTGTGGTGGAAAATGCTGTCCACCTAGCAGCCAACTACACCCCGCAGTACCGTGAGCTGTTCGGCCATCTCAGGGATGTTGTGCAGGCCAGACTCAAGAACAAGACCAGCATGATTCCAGATGACATAGCCAAGTGCCGAGGTAGGTCCCCGGGAAGCTCTTGTCACCAGCGGGCATGGCCCCTTCCCTGTGCCTCCATTCTTCTGATGTGCTCATTGGAGCCCGCTCACAGGGTAAAGACCCCATCAGTATTGACTTGCTGTGGAAGGTGTGGTATGGAGAAAGGAGGGAGAGAAACATTTCTGGGTTTTTTTTGTTTTTGTTTTTGTGCCAGTCCTGGGACTTGAACTGGGCAGGCTGGTACTTTTAGCACTTGAACTATATTGCTCCACTTCCAGTTTTTTGGTGCTCATTGGAGATCAGAGTCTGGGTAGGCCCGGCATGGGTGGCTCACACCTGTGGTCCTAGCTAACCTGGGAGGCTGAGATCTGCGGATCATAGTTTAAAGCCAGTCCATGCAGAAAAGTTCCCGTGAGACTTCTATCTCCAATTAACCAGCAGAAAACTGGAAGTGATGCTGTAGCACAAAGCGGTAGAGTGCTAGCTTTGAACACAAGAACTCAAGGATGGTGCCCAGGCCTTGAGTTTAAGTACCATGACTGACCAAAACAAACAACAACGAATAAGGTCTGGGCTGACTTTGAACCACAATCCTCTTATCTCAGCCTCCCAAGTAGCTGAGATTACAGGCATGAGCCACTAGTGCCAGGCCCTTGTTTTTTTTGTCAGTCGTGGGGCTTAAACTCTGGGCTGAGCCCTGTCCCTCAGCTCTTCAGCACAAGGCTAGTGCCCTACCACTTAAGCCACAGCACCACTTCCAGTTTTCTGGTGGTTTATTGGAGCTGAGAGTCTCACAGACTTTCCTGCCCGGGCTGACTTTGAACTGCGATCCTCAGATCTCAGCCTCCTGAGTAGCTAGGATTATAGGTGTGAGCCACCAGCACCCAGCTTCTTGTTTTTAATCTCCCATCTGTCCTTGGCAGATTCCACACTGTGTTACAATGGAAATGTCACCACAGTGGAGAAAGATATAAAGCTGAGCTTTGACCCACAGGGTGAGCTGGGAACAGGCCGGGGGGGGGGGGCACTGGGAGTTCCTAGGAGAACTTCAGCCAGGCTGATAGGTGGTGCCTGTCCTTCACCTCCTCTCTTCAGAACAATGCACCCAGAAAGCTGCCCGGGACTTTGCCCACTTCTTCTATGTGGATGAGCTGGATGGAAGGCTGACGTGCGTGACTCAGTGTACAACAGGGACCAAGTCGCAGCTCAATTGTAACCAGGGCCAGTGCCAGCTGCAGCGCAGCGGTCCCCGCTGCCTGTAAGTTCCGTGGAAGGGCCCGGCCCACCCCCCTCTCATCCCCCCCAGGGGGCGGAGCTCAGAGGGCACTTCCTCCTCCTCCTCCTCCCTGTACCTCCCATGGCTCCCCACACAGCAAGAATGACCCGCAGCCCTTCTGTAGCCTAGGCAAACCTTTCCTGAGAAAGCCCAGGTCATCAGTTTTGCCCTATTATCTCTCTCTCTCCCCCCAAGCCACCGGGCTGTCATTGCTTTGGTTTGTGGCCTAGACACTTCAGTTCCAAGATCATAAATTAAATATGAAATATAAACCAGGATAAACAGGAGGCTCTGGGTGCCAGCTGTTTGGAGATTAGATAAGGAAACCTCAGAGAGTGGGGTGAGGCCTTCCCGCTCCCCAGATCCCGGGGACCGCTGTTCCTTCCCCACTGCTGCCCTGCGCTCTGTGCCTCTCTCCCCGCTCCCCTTGATCCAGCCCCTCCCTCCCTGCAGGGGCGGGTGTCCCTACTTTCCCCCACCGTGCTCTGGGGTAGAGTGGTGTCAGGGCTACCTAGCTTGACCCTGCATTATGTCCTCAGGTGCCCCAACACGGACACGCACTGGTCCTGGGGGGACAGCTGCGAGCACAACACCAGTAAGGCCCTGGTGTACGGGGTGGTGGGCGCCGTGGTCGCGGTGTTGCTGGTGGTGGTGGTGGTCCTGGCCTTCTTCCTTGGCCGATCGCGAAGGAAACTCCACAGGTGAGATCCCGAGCCAACACCGTGGGCCTGGAGATGGGGGGGGGATGAGGAGAAAGAGTTTGTCTGCCATGGAGGTGGGGCTCTTCTAGCCTAGCCATTGAAGAGTGGTCTATACCCTCTAATTGTGGGTGTGGCCAAGGGTCACAGGCCCTCTGATAAGGAAACCATTGGCTACCTCCCGGTGGCCCAGGAATTGAAACCAAAGAGTCTCTGAAATTAATTATTGTCCGGGAGGAGATTAGCTGGCTTTGTTATCATTCCTGTGGCTTCAGTGTAGGAAGCTGAGAGAAAGCCGTGTGGGGCCCATTTCCCGCTACAGCGGAGATGAAAGGCACCTGTGAACCACATCGGGAGATGATCCGCAGCCCACCTGACTTTCCACACAAGCAAACAGAAATCGACGAAGGGGAAGAGGGGGGGCCCTGGCTCAGAAGCCTGGCCTTCAGGGATGGGGAGCCCTGGGGACTTTGCTCCTCATTCTCTGCTCTTACTCCCCCCCAACCCACCCAGGGCAGAACTGGAGGAAGAGGGGCGGTCAGGACCCACTGAGGTCCCTCCTGCCCCGCCCACCTCCATCCACTCAAGACATTTCTGTTCACAGGCAAGATTATGATGTGTATGGAGTATGGCAGAGGGAGAGACACCCTACCAGCTTCCGGAACACCGGTGTGTGGGAAGGTACTGAGGGGCAGGCCTTTAGTATCAGGAGAAAAAGAATGTGTGTGTGGGGGGGGTGCCTGGGAGGGGTGCAGTGGGGGAGGGGCCTGTGGTCTCACAGTGGCTCCATGGGGGTAGGCATTGTGGGGGGATGGGCAGGAGACCCTGGAAGGGGACAGGGAAGGAGCCCCAGGCCTGAAGGTCAGGAAAAGAGGGAGGCAGGGTCTGCAGGACTCAGGAAGTAATAGAAGAATCTGGACCCTATCTGCTGTGGTTACTGTTGCTACAGGGCTGGGCAGGGCCGGGCCCCTGTGACTCAGGTAAATGCCTTCTGTCCCAACCCAGCCCAGCTGGTGTCTCACGCCCAGGCCCACCCCAGGCCCTGGACTGTGACTTTTGCCCCGGTCCTGAGGTGGGAGGGCAGGCACCCCTTCTCCTCCCCCGCCCCTGAGGACCACTAAGAACTGAACAGTGGAAGAATGATCTAGAATCTCCCACTCCCCCATCCCTGGGTTTTCCCCTCATCCCACGCCTCTGTTTACAGGCAAGGATCTAAAGGAAGACAGATTTGGCCTAGAGACGGGGTACAGCCACTTCCAGCCCTCCCTGGAAAATGTGGACCCAAGCAGAGAGGTGACTCAACTATGAGCTGTCCCCCACCCCTGGGGCTGCCCCCCACCCCAGGGCTGCCCCTTCACCCCTCTCTCTCTCCCTCTCTCTCTCCCTCTTTCTCTCCCTCTCTCCCCTTACCTCAGGTCCACATTCAAAGGCCGAAAGTGGTAAAAGCCAGCCTCTAAGGCCCAGAGCTCCAGATGTGGACCACAAGTGGCAGAGCACCCCCAGGGGCACCCCCAGAAGCTGGGTGCCAGGCGTGGAGGTCCTACAGTCTCACTGGGCAGTGATGTGTCTGGCTGGTGGGCCCTGCTGAAGAGGGGGTAGGGGGGTGGCCGCGCCCCAGCCTCGCCCCTCCATCCAGGGGCAGAAGGGGCCCCACATCCTGGTTGGCTCTGGGTGACTGTGGGTGACTGCAACGTTCCTACAATAAAAAGCAATTCTTAAAGAGCAAGGCGACTTCAGAGGCTGTCTTTCCCCACTACCTGAAGGGGCTTGGGGAGGTGAGCTGGAAGAGGAGGGGCCATTCTGGGCGTTGGGGAGGGTACCCCTGTGCCTGGACATGTGCTCTCGCCAGGCCCAGCAGGGCAGGGACGGCCCTCCTCGGCCTGTGGTCGTACAGCACGCAAGCCTCAAGATCAGGTCCATGGGACCTCCCAGAAGGCCGGGGGGGGGGGGTAAACCCTTGGCTTGGCTGACCTTGGAGGCAGACAAGGTCACTCCGGGTGGCCACAGGAAGGGGATGGGAGAGCGTGATTCCCTTATATATAAAGCCTGATCCATTGAGGCTGGTTACTGGCCCAGGTGTGCCCACGCCTACACCCTATATACTGGGAGTGAGGAGCAGGGAGCAGAGAAGGACTCAAGGAAGGGGATCTCTTTCCCAGATGCTGTGATCAAAGCTAGGGTGCTGATGGCTCACATCTGTCATCCTAGCCACTCAGGAAGCTGAGATCTGAAGACCGAGATTCAAAGCCAGCCAGGCAGGAAAGTCCATGAGACTCTTACCTCCAATTAACCAGCATACAGAAAAAAATAATAATAAAAACAAGCTGGGCGCTGGTGGCTCACGCCTGTCATCCTAGCTACTCAGAAGGCTGAGATCAGAGGATCTCGGTTCAAAGCCAGCCCAGGCAGGAAAGTCCGTGAGACTCTTATCTCCAATAAACCACTCAGAAAACTGGAAGTGGTGCTGTGGCTCAAGTGGTAGAGCGCTTGTTTCGAGCTGAAGAGCTGAGGGACAGCGCCCAGGCCCAGAGTTCAAGCCCCATAACCGACCAGAAAATAAAAAATAAAAACAACTAGAACTGGAGCTGTGGCTCAAGTGGTAAAGCGCTAGCCTTGAGTGAAAAAGCTAAAAAAACAGCCTAGGTCTTGAGGTTAAGCCCCAGGACTGGCACAAAACACCAATTAGAATGTCTTGGTCTCCTGCTCAGGCTCAGGCTGGGCTGGACTGGTCACCTCTTTACCTGGGGCTTGTTCCCTGTCTGCCTCAGGGCCCTACACTGCCCCTACATTGGGGTGACAGCTCTGGTTATATACATGTCTGGGTGCTGTCTGGCCAGGGAGGGGAGCCCCTCCCACCACCCTTCGGTCTACACCCCCTAGTCACAAAGGAAGCTCCCCGATTGGCCTTAGGTTCAGATTGGCCCCCAGAACTGTGGTATCATAGGGACCAAAGGTCTCTGGGGCCTTATATTTCTGACGTTCCCTGGCTGATACTTAACTTTGTGAGCGCCAGCGAAGGATGGGTGTAGGCTTCGGTACCTCAATGCCGAGGCTGCTGGCAGCAGCGCTGTGCCTGCTGGCTCTGGTGCCCCAGCTCCTGCCTCAGTGTAACGCTGCGGAAAAGGGTAAGTGACTGCCCCTCCCCGGGGGTGGGGGGTAGGGGTGGTGTCTCCCTGCTCCCCAGGGACCTGGATGCGGTTGCTTCCCACCTGGAGCCCAGCCTCAAGCTCTTCTCTGCCTCCAGACTGCTTTCCAGCTTGTGAGAGTGGATCTGCTTTGTGGGAATCTTAAGCAAAGCCGGCCCTCACTCCCCCCCCATCGCACCCCAGACACTCTAGCCCATAGCCAACCAAGGCCATCTTTACCCAGTGGGTGTTCCCCTCCAATCCCCCATCTCCCTTCCCAGTATTAACGCAGGGACTTCCTTTCAAAGTGTATGACCCTAGCCTCCAAGTTCTGTCTCCTCAAACTCTTTTGTCCAGGCAATTTCAACATGATCCGGTCCTCAGACCATGTTGCAGCTCTCTGACCAAGACAGGACTTCAGGAGCCTCAGATTCTGTGTGTGTGTGTGTGTGTGTGTGCGCGTGCGCGCGCGATGGTACTGGGTCTTGAACTCAGGGCCTGGGTGCTATCCCTTTGCTTTAATGCTCAAGGCTGGCTCTCTACCACTTGAGTCCCAGCTCCACTTCTGGCTTCTTAGTAGTTCAATAGAGATGAGAGTCTTATAGACTTTTCTGCCCTGGCTGGCTTTGAACCAGAATCTTCAGATCTCAGCCTCCTGAGTAGCTGGGATTACAGGTGTGAGCCACCAACACACACCTCCTAGCCCATCCCCCTCTTTTTTTTTTTTTTTTTCCTGTGTGTGTCTGCTAGTACTGGGGCTTGAAACTAGGGGCCTCCCTCTCTTGCTTGGTTCTGCTGCTCAAGGCTCGAGCCACACCTCCACTTCTGAGGAGCCTCAGATTCTAATCCTCCGCTAACAAGCTGAGTGCCATTGGGCTGTCTTGTTCCTCACTGGCCTCAGTTTTTCCCTTAAAAAGACAAGGGCTGGGATGTCTATGGATCTTTTCACCTTAGTTGCTTCAGGAGCCCGGCTACGTGGAGACAGGACTCCACGTAGAAGAGATGCCAAGGGACCCCAACAACTGGACCCCTCCAGAACCTCCTCCTGTCCCTCACCTGTCCCCAGGCCCTCTCTTCCTCAGGCCCTGAGATGTCACCTTGGAAAGGGCTGGGTGGAAAGAAAGGAGCCTTTGTCCCAAGATGAGCTACCTCCAGCCATCCCTGAGGTGACATCGCAGCACATCCCATCTGGACTTTGCCCGGCCCTGTGCTTGCTTTGCCAGGAAAGGCGGGAGCTCCTGGCCACGGGCCATCACCCTCCATAACTGCGCTCTAAGAATATGGGGTCTAGAAGCATCATTCTTGACTGGGGCCTCTGAATGCACCTATCCCAGAAGACCACGCAGACACAGTCTCACACACAGGAAAAGCAGTTTATTGCCAGCCAAGGCTGATAAGGCCACCTCCCCCATGGGACAGGGAGAAATGGTGCCTCTCCCTATTCAGGGGCATCCTTATAACCTTGGGGCTAGAGGCAAGAGGTACTCTGTGTGCACAGCTAGGTCTGGGCAGAGAGTACGTGGACCGATCCCAGAGAAACTGGCAGGAGCCCCAGGGAGAGTTCTCTCTTTGTGAAGGGCAGAGTGGAGTTCAGGTCTGGGTGGAGGGAGTTCCACTGAGGCAGCTTGGGGCTAGAGATAAGTGCTGCTAACCTTCCCTTCTTTGTTGTTTAATAAGTACGGGTACCTGTGGGCAGAGGTCGCTTCTTCTAGAGCTACTTCCTGCTGTAAAGGGGGGAAGTAGTCACAGGTCCCAGATTTGTCATTCTACCAGGTACCCTTCTAGAAGCTTTTTTGGTTGACAATTTGGTTGCTAAGGGTGAGAATTTTTTGTGAGAATATTTTGTAGGTATCTAAAATGCAAGGCACAATTAATTAA